CGAAGGGAAATTAAAATGAAAACATTATTTTGGTTCATTTTCAATGTATCAAATTTACATAAATGATATGCTTATTTTATAAAAATATATTGTCAATTTTTTTGCTTTTGAGTAGATGTTCAATGAAGTAATGTCCTTTAATATTTGTCTATATTCTTTAGTTATATTCATTAAGCAAGAAATCACGCAACTTCGTCAAAGATATTCTTCAAATTGTTGATGTGTATTGATAAATCGAAGTATCTCGACTCTCGAACCCAAGAGCCGTGTGTGTAATTTAATTTTCCTAATGGTTAGTAAAGTGATGTAGAAAGTTTTCCACTCACACGTGGAGATATATATTTACTCGTCGAAATGTGAATTACGATATTTCATAACTACGAAGATGAACATTCTTACGCCTCTTTTGAGGCGCCGAGAAGGAAGGTTTTAGTGTCTTCAAATCAATTTTGTAAGGTGAAAATGTGAGATGGCGCAGATTCGTAGCAATAAAAGGGCTTGGTGGGTAATTGCAGAAAGTTGTGATACACATGCCAACAATATATTACAATTTTAATGAATCCTAAGAATTTTGGCGTGCGGTGTTTTGTTGAAAAAGCATAAATTTGTGTTAAAAAGTTTTCGTTGCCGGAAAAAAGAACGGAAAATCTGGTGTTAGAAAAACACCCTTCAACATTTCAATGTCATTTTTAAATGGGCTATAGTAAATTCTATATTAAGTTTAAATGGAATTTTTATGTTTTCACCTTTTAGACTCATATCATCATGTTCATGTGGTGAGGCGTATGTTAGCGGTATACCATGTCATACGTGTCATACAGAAAAGGTATCACACTGTAGCAAAATTGAATGTTTCAGCATCATACTCTGTTCGCACCAGATTACAAATAACAAATTTTCATGGGTATATTGAGATTGTTGCAAATGTTAAGCTCTCATGCAAAAAATGGACCCATAAATCAATTTAAAAATTCACATGTACGTGAATAGTAAAGATCCGTTAGACTGTTGTTATATTTTCTGCAGCATAACAAATTGTGTAAAATGTGTGTTGTGAAAAATCATTCTTTTAGATTTTGTTCCTTTGTTTTTTCAATTGAAAATTATTCAGCAACTTCAACCAGCCAGAAGGTTAGGTGAAAAATTATGTCTATACAGGTACATTTTACGTTGTGAATGCGAGTAATATAGGGAATGATAAATGAAGTTTATAAATAAATTATTTGGGTTGAATTGCTTCTTCCCATTTTCATCTTTCCCACCTCGCATTCCCTTCCAATTTTCAAGCTTCTGTCGAAGATACTCGGGTGTGTATGTACATGAATATGTCCATAAATGTCTGCCTTAAAAGAGACTTGCAAATTATATTAGCAAAATTAATGGAAATACCGTGCACGTAAAGTTACTCTGTCACTTGGAAAAAAAATACAGAGTTTATACAAATATTCATGCAGTGAAAAGAGCCATGAAGGACCATCGTTCCAAGAGAATAACTTGGAAGTATCGCGTTTGCAACCATTCTTTTCCATCTCCCTCCACCATGTTGGCTGGCAAGTAAAGCTAAAGGCAACTTTACCCAATTTTCAGTATGAGATAAAAGTGTTGAGAGCAAGTACGTGATTAGTTTACTTGAAGAGTTTAGAAGAGTTTATCGCCATTCAAGCAACTTTCTATGGTGACATGTTTTAGCTGGAAAAGAAGATTGTCTTCTGACATACCAATCAGATTGATCCTTTTATTATTACAGGACAAGGATGAAAACAATTAATTTAACTTGAACATCGATATTTAGTCTACAATTTTATAAATTTCACGACTGTCAAAGGAAATTGTGTGTTTTCCACTCTATCCACGTCATATGCTTTCGAGCTTTTAGAAAGACCCCAATATTCTACTATGTTAGCTTTTGACTACAATTGGAATATGAATGCAGAAACTGTAGCGAGAACATCTCAATATTGTTAATCTCTACGGAACATTATATAGTGAGATATGATACACACGGCGGTCACATTGCACCCCAACTCCATTAAATGCGATAAGAGGCTTATGAGCAACTGTTTATACTAAAAGTTGCACCATGAATAAATTGAGCAATGCTAAAAGGTCCCCAAAGCTTAAAGAAGCTTTAGATGTTCTCAGATTGTTCTGAGAATCACTTTAGAAAATATGACACACACAAAGAAATTCCACACTTAATTGTTCATGAATGTGGATGTCGAAATGATTTGAACTGAAAGTAGCTCAGTTATATACAACTGTTATATGTTGACAACTTCTCTCTAGCTTATCTGCGTTATATTTTTTTCATTACATTGAGTCCATCTCATAAATATATCGCTGAACTTTTTAAAAAACCCTCAAACTATTACACCACAGCCCAATGTTTCCTTTTTCCCCAAAAGAGCTCTTTTATTCGGAGGAATTGACAATGAATTTACTGGTTTTTTTATTTGTCTGATTGTATGCTGGTGCGTGGTTTTAGAGTATCTGGGGGGATTTAGTACGATTGAAATTGCTGTTTGGAAGAAAAACAAAATTAAATTTGGATAGAATTATTGAGTCAACAAGGGCATAAACATCTCTTGGAAAAACACAAGGGAGTACAGAGAGGATTTCAAATCTCGCCACATTGTAAGGGATGGTATTTGTCTCTGAAGATTTACCGTACGTCAACTCTGATTGGACAACACCTAAACTCTGAAGATCTCAGCATAAATTCGGCACGAAGAAATAGGTCCGGCACTTGGTACAATCTATGAATTTACTTTAAGCCTCAATTCAGATGGAAAAGTGTTGATGTTTCGTAAAATAATATGGGATTTTCGTCAAAATAAGGCATGGAACTTGTCATGGATTTTTCATGTTTACACTTTACTCAACGTGGTCTGCATAAATATACTCAAGCACTTCCTTCTCTCATGGGATAAGGAAAACGGGCAGGAAATTGAATTCCACGGTATAAAATCCTACTGTGTATACGCGTAAAACCGCTGAGAATAAAATATTCACTTATTCTTCGGCCACTCCTTTCACCCTCAGCGTCAACACACATCTTTTGATACCTCCCGTGAATTTTTCAATGGCGAAGACGAGCACAAGGACTCTTTACGTCTTGATATCGGCAGGAGTATATCTATTAGAGATTGCGGCATAATTTATTCTCAAGGGGTGGAACTTTCTATTTGTGTACACCCTCGGGCGAGACTTTATGCGATACAGGGGGACACTATTGAAAAGCACTCGGGATTAGTTGGAAAGCCGAGAGAGTGTCGATACGACTCAATAAATCATTATTTGTATTGAGCAGTGTGATCCCCAACAGAGGCTCAACGCACAATTTGCTGTGTCCCTTCTGCTTAGAAATTGCTCCAAGGATCACAGAATCGTTAAATTTCATCCCAAAGCTAATATTCATACACAATTTGCCTTTGGCAACATGATAAACTTGGAAAAGAGTCGGGGAATTTAATAGAATTACACAGAGATTTATCGAGCAAGCAAAGCATAAAAGATAGCTAAATTAATTTAAATCTAAAGTTTATTCTAACTTAAAAACGAAGTCGAGTATGACCATTTTTTTGGTGGAGAAATCGGACTTTAAACCCAAAATGTGTTGCAAACAATAGATAGATAGTCTAGAAATTTGCCAATGTTGAATATGTAGATCTGAGAAATAATGTGAAAATTTGTAACACTTCGCTTTTAAACTCACTCAGCATAGGTTAATTTGAAAACATACAATAACCAAATTATATTCTAGGAAGATAAAATGAGAATTTTGTGTTGTTTTCTTTGCAATGGTTTTTCTGCGTTTTAATATAAATACATACACAAATACCCAACACTCCACAACTCAGGACGCCCCTTCAATATTACAAATATGGACTTTGGTGATGCTTGAATTCTAAATGAAATATCAAATTCCATGGTGGAATAAATCCGGCAGTGTGTTTTTCCACCCGAAGTATTATTACATTTCATTGTTCCGCCAATCTAATACTGTAAAAATATCCCATACGGTGAATAATGAAATTGGAACAAAAGATGTAAAGGGAAATTTGCGATGAAATGTAAAACACCCATGGGTATATTCCTTTTTTTGCATTACGCCTTTTGCTCTCATCAGGAATGAAATTCAATTTGCTTCCTTGTTGACTTTTTCACCAATTCTTATGCAAATTGATTCAGTGTGGGATCAATTAAACGCCTTTAATGCAATTTTCTAGCACACTGACATCTCTTTGTCAAGTCTTTGATACCGGAGGAATTTCACATCCAAAGGGATGATTGAGTAATTTGATTATTACAATCAATAGAGCTCATCTGAGAACAGTTGGCCACTTTGTCACAATATTCATCTTCTTACTCTATTGTGAAATGAAATAGCACCGGAACAGATGTTCTCCGAATTAAATTTTAGTTTAGAGTGGGATCAGATAAATATTGTAGCTGGATCACAGAAGAAACTCGCTTCTCGCTTAATAGTCTTTGAACCTCGAAAGGGCTGTTTTTAGGGTGAGGAGATGGAAGTAAAATCAGCTCTTCAGTTCCATTAACGAGTAAATTATTTAAATTGCCAGAATATGGTGAGAATCTGCGGAAGGTGTTTTAATTGAATTGCAAGTTTCATTTAACTTCTTTCACAGTTGAGAAAGCTCACCCATTTGCATTGAAAATTAGCCAATAGAGTTCACACGAAACAGAGGCAAAAGATGAGGAGACGAGTGAAATTGACTTTGTAAGCTCAAAACTTAATGTTTTCACGTGTAATTGGAGAAGTTATGTTGTCAGCAAGCTCGAGTGCTTTCAATTTCGCTGGGAAATCAATCACAGACTTTAACTCAATTTCCATATCAATGAGAAAGTGAAATGGAATGGTGCAAAAACTGACAATAGGATTTAATAGTGGGTGAAGGAGAATTTCAGTGGGAATTAGTAAGTTGAACACTCTGGAGGTGTTTCGCTTTTCGTTGAATATCATAATCTATCTACAGTACCTCGTCTAGTGCCTCTTGTAAATTCATTAGGTTTTCCATGGCTGCAGATGACAAGTTGCCACAAACATCGATATGGTGGGAGAGGTATTCAATTCTTCAACTTCACTATGAGTTTTTGTTGCGCCTTTTCACGATCCACTTTCCCCATTCATTGCATTAATAGACCCTTGCATATCACATTGCTGGATGTATTAAGTGCTCTGGCATCGAGCATGTCCGAGGGAATAGTAACTGAATTATCATCTCTATGCACGAAGATGGTGAGGTGGAACGTCCTGGGCGGCGTGGATACGAGAAAATGCCGCAACCACACCTAATTTCCTTACTTTCTCACCATGTCATCACACTGGGGAGATCACGAGGGTGGCAGAGTTCTGCATTTCGGTCACAGAGACATGCTACAAGCACTGGGGGATTTTTACGACTTGTTCCTTTCGCACCCAAGCCCACACCACCTCTCCGGCTGGGCCTTCACCAAAGTGACACCATCATTTGTAAACGTCCACACTCAGTTGGGAGTTGATCTGACTGGTGGCCCCACCAGTGGACCATGTTGGAATAATTTCTGTTCCACATCGGACACCAAAATGAGGCAAAAAGTGACAAATCACCCAGTCATTTGTCAGTCACACTCAATAAATTAACAGTGGTATGCAGAGAGAATCTCTTTGGCACATTCCCTTGTCCAAATGCAACCGCAGTCGTACTTCAATCGTCTCAGCTGAAGCCCAACCGGCACGACCAAATTCAACAAGGTTCCGTTAAATACTGACGTTAGAATCTGTTCGAGTGTATTCAAACCAGAGAGGTACAGCTTTCAGAAATCAAGACGCATTTGTGCGCAACCGCCTAGAAGCTTCTGTGGTCCTCCTCATTCCCACGAGTCGAAAGCACACTTTATGCACGCTATATTGATGCGAGAATTTAGTCTTTTTGGATGGCATGCATTTTTCTCCGCCTACCCTGTGACCGCCTGCGATGCAGCGCATTATCATAGCGATTTAATAAAATAATTTCCTGTCACAAAATTCTTCCTCCCTGGGCAAAATAAAATTTTCCACCATTGAGATTTTCTTTTATCATGATTGATGGCCAGACTACATACTCGAGTAAGCAAATGCATGTGAAGAGCATATTCAACAAGTTATACATTTAGCGTGCGCTCCCCATTGTGCAAAGTTGTATATAAAAATTGCATTGAGATATGGAGTGTCGCAAAATTGCTCGGGTAAAATCTCGGAAAGGGTGTTTTGTAAGAATGGCGCAGGGAGAAATTGCGTTCAACGATATTTTTCAGTCTCAAATCAATTTCTTATTTTGCTTTTTACCTCATATCCTGTCAATAGTGAAATTTTATATAAAATAACCCAGTTTTATAAAGAAGTGACAGACAGGTGCTTAAATAAATAAATAACGAAGAATACTTCACAAAAATCCCATCGAGAATCCCATTGACTTTTCTGTGCTTTTTGCACCTTCTGATTTCAGGAAATAGCGTAAATTTTTCAGATGCCGGTAACACGCAACTAGTGTACGTGATTGTTGGGGAAAGGTAGCCCATAAGATTATGTACAGATTCAATTCAATGATCCTCTGAGACCTGTATATTTAATAGTACTCCCGTGAGTAATATTGCGCAGATAAGAGCTTATCGACTAGAACGTGCAAATGGGGAAATCTTGAAGGTGTTGGTAAATGGATTATACGCATATTTTTCAATTTCTATAGAATTTTTCCTCTTTACGAGAAGAAAGAGAAGTGTAGAGTTGAATTTTCTGCAATGAAATGAGTCTAATAAATTGCAGATAAATTGCAAGCCCTTCTTCATCATTAAGAAGAAAGAGAAAATAAGCAACTCCACGGCTTGTAATATACCTACATGTAAGTATCAACGAGATTAAAAGTGTATTTTCCAAGCAATAAAATTCATATAATTTTTATATGAGGATGACTTTCTCTTCTTTAAACTCGAAGTAATGGAGCAATAGAATGTAATTTTATGGCTATAAAAGTACAAAAGAATTACTTTTCTCGGCACAAAACGTCGTAGAACTGAATTTCACGCAGCGACTTCAATTTGTCATATCAAAAGAGAGCTTTTAATTAAAGGAATTTCTTCAATATCTGGAAAAAGCGAGTCGGTATATAAATTTGCGAAATGATTTGTGAATATATAATTCTCCAAACATGCCTGGGAACAGAAATGTTGCTTGTAAAGTAAAATTATGAACTAATATTTTCCATTTGAGAAATCTTTAGAGAGGTTTCCCGTATTTGCCATGCAATAAAATTTCACCTAAAGCTAGGAAATACATATAAATATACATCATGACGACCCAGGGAAGTCGTTAGCATTTGGAGGAAAACACTCTCCAATCTACAGTTAAAAATAAAAACGTGACTTTCTTGCGGCACTATTCGGAAATGTTTTTGTGCGATTGGTAAGGATTTTTATTGGATAAGAATAAATGAATGGAAGATAAATCACCGTACAATCAGAAGGAATAATAATCAGAAAAAAATATTATAGCAACATTTCTATATGGGGAGTAAAGATGAAATAGAACCATTACTTTAGTTTATTTTGCATTTGAATTTGTCAATCAGTAGAATTGGAATACGGAATTCTGACCCATAAAATGCTGTATTGCATGATTTTGCGATATTATTTATGGCGAAAGGAAAATATTCTTGCGATTGTTAATTTTATGCACAAGACCATGAAAAGGATATATTTGTCATGCGGGAAAAATATGTGACATTTGTGAATTGACATTATTTATTTAGTATATTTCCCATGACAATAAATTTATTGCTGCCCATTCATTGATTTTGTTCACGATTTCTATCAAACACCCTATTCAGTATTGTTTCCACATTCCTGCCGCCTTACTCATTAGTCATATTAAGAAATAGGCCTTGAATAATTAATGTATCAAATTACAATCTTCTTAGCTGTCTTGTTAGGTACAAGGTATTGAGAGTAGAATGAAAACCTAATAGTTAGCTAGTATAGGCAGAATAATTTGTAATTTGATATTGATTTTTCCACCCCATATCCAGTCTTGCTGCGCTTTCCGCGGGTGGTTTCTCGGCAGAATACTAAATGTCAGAAAATAATTCCAATGAATTAAAAATTAATCGAGAGCAGACAGTGTAATAATGCATTTTTTTTCTCAAAATTCTCTGCAGGCAATTTGGCAAAACTGTCTTCAGATGAGATTTTTGCCAAGAAAGTGTTATAAAATCATAATTATTATTATATAAAAGTACAGTATCATTCAGAATCAATTGTCAACGCGGCCTATGTAAAGGAAAATGCATATAAAATGCAATGTGGAGTAACTTTCATGAATGCGAAACAACTTTCAATAGCCGGAAAAAGAGAATCATCTTCCTCTGGGGAAATAAAGTTGCTCATTTTTCCAGTATATGAACCACAGTGAGGGAAGTTGTGTGCAGTGTTATTATGGATTGTCGCAGCAGAACCACCACGAGCTTGTTTACAAAAAAGTTTCATAGCTCTTAATACCATGGGAACAACTTTGCATATGTACATCGAAGCCAACGATTTTAATGGATGTATATAGACATTATTTTGATAGATAGTGTTAGAACTTTTTATTATAGGATTCCATAAAACAATCAATGAATCGATGCGCTGTCTATCAGGGAAGGTTAATTGATTGAAGAGGGTTATCAGCGAAATTGAGTGGATTATGTCTATAATAATGACTGATAACTTCAGACTTTGCATTAGTAAAATTATGTGCCGTAGATAATTTTTGCATGGTGAAAAATTCTGTAAATTGTTGAATTCCCATATGAATTTTAAAATATCTTTCGAGAAGAAAAGTTCTTCTGTAATGTGTGTTTAAATCCTTTTTTTCATTTTGTTACTTCTAGCAAAATGTAGAAGTTTCTGCAATGTAAAGTTTAATCTTGAGGGAGTTTCTAGAGTGAAACTTATATGGGTCAGTTCACCACAACATTTCAGGTAGATTTTAAGAAAGTGTAAACAATATATAGAGGGTTGCCTAATAGTATTCGGTAATCTTTCTGCTATTGAAAAATAAAAGTGAGACACCTGATATTGAAGTAAAACATACAACGGAAAATCAAATGTAGTTTTATGACTTCTACTGAGTAGGTGTAAACTTACTAAAAAAAAGTTGCACAATGCCAAACTTTTCCAACATACCGCACAGTGTATCTCAAAGTTTATCCACTACAGAGGTTTCCCACTGAGAATAGTACATTGTAAATTTACTGGCAAGACATTCAGCATTCAACAACATTGTGTTCATTCACTTAACAAGATATCAAGACAAAAACCCTATTTTCATTCTAGAATGCAGCGGGGGTGCAAGAAATCCATTCTTCTAGTTGTATTAAATTTTAAATGTGAAACTCTGCTTCAAGCAAAAATAAATCTTCTCTCTTTTACATAAATGTTCTATATGAATATAATAATTAATAATCCCTAATTCTATGTATAGATGTTCCCATGTAAGAACACAAGAAATGGTATTCATGTTCAGAGTAATTTACAACCCACATGCTTTGTGTTTTTCACGATATTTTCCGGTATACTATCCATATAAGATATGCAAGTGGCATCGCAACAAGAATGGTTATTGTTCTACAATATGTCATAAACATTTTCTCTGCACAGTTGAACGACATTTCAATTTCTTTGCCCAGCAAGTGATTGGAATAGGAAATGATGTTAATACAACCATTCTAAAACAATCTGTTTTTTGTAACAATTTTCGTTTGTTAAATTGAAGAATCTAATCATTCAAGAGGTTTTTAGAAGTCTAAGCTAAATTGCAAGTTTACCATTGCAAATACACTTTAACGCGTCAGAGCTTTTAACACAAAAAATTCTTTTGAAACCATCGTCCTTTTCATATCTGTATTGAAAGTGTGACAGTATGCATTGTGCCTCTTTGTCTGGATTGGACGCAAAGGATCCGTAACAATGAATTGTAATAAATGAGCAAACACAATTTAATAAATGGCGTTCGTAATTGTTTTTTGGAATTCCGCAGTGTCAGTCATTGTCAGCAGATAGGAAGTGAATGGGGGAAGCGAAGGATAATCATTTGGGATTCTTATGCTCCTGATGCTCTATGAATTTCATATAAGAAACGGGACGATTTTAAAAAGACATCTGACTGTGGTGTCGGGAAAATGGGAACCCGCCGAGGGCGATTAATCTTAATTTCACCCTGTAATTGAATTCCATCATATCTAAAGCGCCACGCTAAATTCTATGGAATTAATTTTAAAGACAAGTATTTTACACGCTGAGCTCACTGTAATTTGTTGCTCTCTGATATCCGTATAAACATAAAAAGTGTGCAGTAATTTTTTTCTTCGTTAAACAAAGCTTTATATGGAATGAAAAAGAATCGGATATATTAAATTAGTAATGAATCACGATTGGAATCATGTAGAATACGTTATGATATCACAAGTAAGTTTTTCCCGTATGATACCAATTTGCAGAGCACAAACATTACAAAATTGAATTTTAATTAACTTGGCTTTTCCCATTGGAATCACAAAGAGTAGCCGATTCAGTAGGGAAACATCGAAATATTGAATTGGGGTTTTTCTGCACATTTTTTCTACAACACAAATGAGTAAAAGGCTATTAAATGTTAATTAATTTCTGAGTTATTTTTTTT